AATGGAATTATACCATACAATTTTTTTCTAAATAATTTTTCTTTGAAGATCATTTAATGCCAGTTAATATAAACCAAGCTCTTTTTTTTTTTTGTACCTGCTGCATGGTATCTCTGTTTCATTGCTAGTTTAAAAATTCTCGTGTGATGAACATGCAAGATATTCCCAATATTTTGTGATCATAAATAGAGCTGCATTGAATGTGTACGCATGTGACTTTTGTACACATTTGTGCTTCTCTAGTGTGGCTGTTTGCTTTTTAACAGATATTGCAAAATGGTCCTCAAATAGATATGCAAGTTTACCACAATTTATGAGTATATATCTTTATATCAACATGAAACATTATAAAATTTGCTAATATTCGCCATTCTGATGGCTTTAAAACAGCATCCCATTGTTTTCGTTTGCATTTCTCCACAGGCTACTTACTGAGCACATTTCCATTTGCTTTTAAGCCATTTGTAATTTCTCTTCTGTGAATTATCTGCTCTAACCTTTGCTCATTTATCCTTTGTGTATTTTCCTTCTGATTTTGAAGCATTGTTAATACAATCTCCATCTCAGCATGTATCCTTTGTTACGGACATTGCAAATGTTTCTATCTCTCTGAGTCTTTTAACTGTTATTGTACTTTTTGCCATTAAGAGATTTTTTAATTTAATGTACCCAAAATGATGATTTTCCCTTTCTAGCTTTTGTATTTGTCTAATAAAGACTTTCCCCTACTGAGGTTATCAGCCTATTTCCCTATTTTTTCGTACAATGCTTTCCTAGATTTATTTTTTTTTTTAATGTATAGATCTTTAGACCACCTGGAATTTGGTTTTGTGAATGGTTTGAAGTAGTCATCATATATAATTTTTTTTTACATGCATAGAGAATTTTCCTAATGCTGAATTCCCATAGATGTGTTTATGTATTTCTGGGCCCTGTGTCAATGTGTCTCGTCCTGCACTATGCCACAGTCTTTGTGACACCATCACACCTGGTAGACTGTGGTTCCCCCACAAACCTCACTCTTCATTTTATTTTTTTTCAAAATTGTCTTGGCTACTCTTACATACTTACTATTTCACATGGATTTCAGAATGATTTTATCAAATTCCATGGGAAAAAAAACTTGTTATAATTTTTATTGTGTTTTGCATTTATTTTATAAATTAATTTGGGAGAAATTGACCTCTTTGCAATCTTAAAACTTCAATTCACAAACATGGTAAATGTCCTCATGTGTTTAAGATTTTTATGTCTTATGGTACATTTTATGTTATTTTTGTACATGAGGCTTTTCAGGTTTACTCCTAGGTATTTTACAGCTTTCCCCTTAAAATGTCGCTTTTCCTTCATAGTCAGCCTTCGATCTACTTCTCACCCACACAGTCTTCCTGGGTGCTCTCATCGTTTCCTCTGCTGTCTAGACGTTGTGACGGCATCACCACCGGCCAAGATCCACGCCCAGACCTCTACACAGAAACACCCACCTACAATCTGGAGTTTTCCATATTGTGGGAAGGGACGGAACAAGAAGGTCAAGATTGTCTTTCAACAAAGCCAGGTGGTAAAGGACAGAATGGCATAAAGTGACAACTGGAGAGGGACACAGGGTCAGGGAAAAGGGGTGTGTGTGTGTGTGTGTGTGTGAATTTCTCTGTCACTTTTACCCCATAAAGTGTTGCCATGGCTATGATCTATGCAAGTCTTGGAAGAGTCATTGACTTCTCATTCTCCCTCCTTCTTCTCTTAGGGTTATAACTGGGCATTCACTCGCCTCAGAATCCCTTTTTTTGACACAGGGTGTTGGGGACATCACATACGATTCTAGGCCTTGAGAAGTTTGACACATCATAAGAATCTGCTTGTTCAGTCTCTTTCTCTCAGTTTAACTAAAGCTCTCCCCATGTCTCTGTTGTTACAAGTGGACAGCTTTGGCACAGCCAGAGACCCAGGGCTATGCATGTTCGTGTGACCCATATAAATGATTATATAACTGGGGAATTTTGAGAATAAAAAGAATGTTATTAATGACAATAGGTACAAATGGTGATTGTCCCAGTCAAATGGAGAAATAAGGTCACACTACTTCATATTTGCATTGTCACACCTTAAAACACATAAAGGGATTTTATATACATTGTATTGTTAGAGGCTTTTTTTTTTTTTAAAGGAGTGCACTTTATTTTAAACATCAATAGGTAAAGGGAATAATGTTTGAGAGTCTGAGCTGGAATGGGTGGGCTGCCTCGTGCAGATCCCTGATTTTATGAGTGAAGATCCTGAGCCCCAGCATTCTGGAAGCTCTCGTAGAGCCTGAGTAACTAACAGATTTGAGGTCCTTCCTGCCTTTTGCCCACCCTCACTGTCTCTACCAATAGGCAGGGGGATCAGAAGACAGGTCGTCAAAGGCTTTGCCTTGGGTTGACGAGCTATGATGAAGCCTTCATCAATGTCCCCAAATGGCAGCCAAGCACGAAGCCATTTGGGTCTGGGATGAAGGCCAATGGCCCTGTGGACTCAGATCTTGCAGAGCACATGGAGGCCCGGATCTCTGTCCCCTCCCTCTAGCTTACGCTTCCCTACCTCAGTGTACGTCGTACAACACAGAGGAGCCTTCCATGGCAGTGGCAGACTACAGGTCTGCATGTCCACGGGTCTGTATTTCATCTGCATGTGGCACCAACCTCTAGCACCTTCTGTGCCACCCAGTTTGGGGAGGGAAAAGATTTCAAGGCCATGATGGACTCTCTGAGAGCTATTTACATACACGAAATAATTAGTAAAACATAAAAATAAGGGAGTGTGATGGTGAATTTTAGGTGTCCACTTGACTGGATTAAGGAATACCTTTATTTGGGGGCGTGTCTGAGAGGGTGTTACCAAGAGGAGGTTAGCATGTGAGTCTGAGTGGAGCTGCCCTCGGTGTAAAAGGGCACCCTCCGATCTGCTGGCAGCCCAGGGAACGAAAACAGAGAAAAGGCAAATGCATGGCTCTGTCTGCTGGGGCTGGGATGTGTGCTCGCTCTCCTGCCCTTGGGCCACGACTCCGGGCTCCCCACAGTCTTTGGACTCCAAGACTTGACACCAGTGGCCTCCCGGGTTCTCACGTCTTTGGCTTTGGACTGAGGGTTACAGCACCGGCTTCCCAGTTCTGAGGCCTTTGGACCTGGACTGAGCCGACCCCCCCACTGCCCCAGCACCCTGGTCTCCAACTTGAAGACGGTCTGTCGTGGGACTTCTCAGCCTCCATGATATCTGGAGTCAATTCCCCTAACAAATCCCTCCCATGTGCCTATATCCATATCTCTATATATAAATATATATTAATATATAATTATATAATACATTGTTATATGTTAATCATATATCATTAATTATTGTTTATTATTAATTATATAATTATTAATTAATTATGTATCAAATATATTATTATATATACTTAATACAAATATAAATATATTATTATATATACTTAATACAAATATAAATATAAATATAGAAATCTATGTATCCATCTCCTATTGGTTTTGTCTCTTGGGAGACCCCTGACTAACACAGAGTAACAAAGCATTTTTCTCAGGTGGTTTTTTTTTTCTCCTGAAAATCTAACTAATCACTCACTAAATTCCTGGAATGAGCCACTGGAGATTTTGGGTCAAGGTTCCTGTTCCATTTATAGCACCTTATTTTTGACAAGATGACTCTGCCTCTGTGTCCTGAGCCTAAACATGCCACCATCAGGACGGGAGATCTGCTCCAGGCCCTGTGGTTTTCATGTTTTCTCTGAATTCATTATTCCTCTTAAAACATTGTCTATCATCCACCCCTAGTCAATAGGTAGATAGATAAAATTCAACAAGGAAACAAGGAATAGGCTTCTTTTGTAATTGGAAGAGAGCTGTGAGCAAGACGGACGATCTGCAGGGACTCCAGCTGCAAATGACCGCAGAACGCCTGCAATTAGTTAGAGGAAGAAGCTGCATGTTTATAACATTTGAGCAGAAAGAAACCTCTCGGTGCTATTCTCTCTCAGTATTCAGCACGGCGGTATTTCAGTGCGGGCCCAGCCTCTCTGGAATGGCAGCGCCCTATCCTGACTCCAGACATTGCAGGGCATGACCTGGTTCCTCAGCCTGGGAGGCCTGGGAGCCCCGAGCAGAGGAGCAGGCCCGGGAGCAAGTCCCAGGAGAAGGGACACATTTACTCAGGCTGCGTGTGCTGAGAACCAGCTTCACTGTTAGTGGCTGGAGCAGAGAGCAGGTACAGGAGGAGAAGCTCCAGGTAGACAGGTGTGATGCTGTACAAGCCCCCCGCCCACCCTATGTCTCAGCCCTCCACACCCCTGTCCACGTCTCAGCTTCCTCTAGTCTTCTGCCTCCCTCTAATCACTACCATGACAGCCACGTCCACCCCTAGTGACCAGGTAACAATGGGACCTGTGAGTCCTGTATTATTAAAAATATGGCCGTGATCCTACCTCTTGCTAGTTAATTACTTAGAAGGAAATTCAATGCTCTTCTCTAAGACTCCCTCCTCTCTTCCCCCAAATTGCCCAAGCCCCCTGGAGGTTTGATCCAAACAGGATGGTCCTCCGAAATCCCAAGTGGGAGGAGAAGTGGCCTCTGTGAGACCATTCGTGGTCTCTCGCTGCCACACGGTGCTGTTGACAGGTGCTGGCCCCGAGCCGTGGGACTCACACTTGGCTGCTCTGAGCACAGCCTTGCTGGTCCGCATTGGCTGGCACAGCAGGGCACCACGTTACGCTGTCTTAGTTGACACTAACATGCGCAGTCATTGTTCTCAGACACTTAACCACTGAGCCCAGGGACAGGTTCCCAAAGATCATTAAAACCTCCCACATGCCAGCCCTTTCGATGATCGCCCTTGTCTTAAGCCTGGGCCATCAGTGCGTCTTCAAATATAGCGTATTCATAGCAAGTTTGAGGAGGAGTAAGGCCAACGGATCAGGACACGACTGCTGTAGAAAAGAGTTTGACACTCACAGTTCCTAAGAGGGGCCACCCGGGGAAGCAGCAGGGTTGATCAGGAGGCAGAGGGAGAGGAAGGAACTGTGGACAAGCACATTTATTGTGGTTTCTGCAGGAAGGAACAGGCGAGGCTGGGTGAAGAGCTAGTTTGAATGATTTCAGTGGGTTCTAGGGCACAGGGGCTGGCCCTGGTTGTCTGTAGCTGGCCCTGTGGTGATCAGGGTAAGTGGATGATGTCACGGAGTACGAGAAGTAAAAAGAAGTGGCGGGGAGGTAAGGGCCCTGGCCTGGTTGGTTTGTGTTTGAAAAAGCATGCTCACGGGCAAATTACTTGCACTCCGTAGGAATTAGCTACCCCAGAGGGGCATCTCCCCAGGGTCACAGGGCCCCGGATCTCAGAGAACCAGCACGCAGGATATAAAAGCCCAGGCACGGGCTTTTATTTATTTATTATTTATTCATTATTTATTTATTTATCCTTTATTTATTCATTTATTTAATTTTCTCTTTTGGGCTTCAGAGAAAATCAGCTGCTTGAAGACTAAGACATAGGCATGTCTGTGCTGGGTGCTCCTCTATCCTTTCTCTGAGATTAAGGTAAATTAAAAATATAAGTGGCTCCTCTTTCTACCCTACACTTTTGTTTTTCATTTTGTTTTTGTTTCACTCTGTTTTGCTTTTAGGGAGCTCACTACAGCCTCAAACTCATGGGCTCATGCAACCCTCCCCCCTTAGCTATCAAGGTACTGGAACTATAATAGTACGTGCCACCACACATGGCTAATTAAAACAAAAATTTTAGCTATGGGGTCTCACTATGTTGCCCAGGCTGATCTCAAACTCCTTGCCTCAAGCTATCCTCCCGCCTTAGCCTCCTGAGTCACTGGGTTTACAGGTGGGAGCCACCATGCCCAGACCCACCCTACACTCTGGAGAAGAAAGAAGGGGCCAAATAGTGCACGGATCTCATTCCTAGAGGGAGAAAGCAAAGCGCCAACAGGTAAGGGGATTTGCCACTGACACGGGTATTAGTTGGCAAACTCAGGAATAGCATTCAGCCCAATATTGGAAAGAACATTTGAGAAAGAAGGTTATAAAAACTGTTTCCTTCCACCAACACCTATATCCCCTTGAGGCCAGTAACCTGAACATATATTCCTTTTGGACCCTGGTAATAAGCAGCTGTTCTTCACTAATTCAGCTCAACATGGGTCTCACCCCCTCCGTGAGGACCCCTCAGTGGGCACCGTGGTCCCATCGGGAGGCCTTGGCCATCCCAACAGGACAGGAACACTCAGAATAATAGCTCAGTCTGGGGACAGCTCAGCTGGAGGCTGTTGTGCCTTTGCATCCTCAACTCCCATTGTTCCGATGTCACCCACCCCATCAGCCTTCTCATTCTGCCTACACTTGCCGCATAAACCCCCCAAGAGTCAGAAAATCCACTCACAAACCTGAGTCTTCTGGTGCCTTAATCATTTCTTAGGTGCATTAATAAATTGGTGTTCAGCTTTTTAATATCAGTCCCTTGAGCTTAGTTTATACGAGTCTGCCTCTAAGAGATTAGTGGCAGAATTAAATTCCCAAACCTGTGGGCTGAAGGCCAGGCCTGGCAAAATTGCCAAGGTATGAAAGGCCACCAAGGTGTGAAGTCTCCTCTCTGGGGAGGATGCCTCAACAAGGACAGATGCCCGAGGGCAAGTTTAAATTCTTCCACATGCTGATGCTCCCTCTGTACACTTGCATGCTTTTCCTTCCACGTTCCCAAAAGGCAGCAGTTATTCCTGGCAGATCTTGTCAATCTCGCAAAACGCACCATGTGAATCATTAGTTTTCACTAGAAACCACATTTTGTCTTCCCAGTTGTATTGACCCAAGAAATAAAATGTTCACATGGCCAAACAAAAAAAAACAGGAACTGGGGGCCCCAGATCCCACCAGCATTTATTGAGCACTTCTGGCATGCATGGATCCAAGTCAGGCTCTGTTAAATGGCAGGAAATAGTAAAAGGGGAAGAGATGGGACACTGAGGATGAGCTATTTTGTGCGAGTTGAGTTCACAAGGCAGCACCCACTCCCGGTGCCGGAGAATTCAGACAGCAGCACCGCACGGTGATGTGTAATACTTGAAGAAAGAGCCAGGACTTATTTTGTCCCTCTCAGTTTGGGGAACCCCAACTATGTGTGCATTTCTAGTTTCAACAGTTGAATAACACCTGATTGTGGTGAACATATTAAATATAGGGAATGTTTCAAACACGGCTGATGCTCCCAGCTGTCTGTTCGGAACATCCTCCCGTGTCAGGACAGAGAGACTTGCTCATTCTTTTGTCAGCTGCGTGGTATTCCTTAGGGGGAGGGTTCCTTGATTATAAGGCACAGGGACATCTGCCCAGAAGGTCTGGTCCTTTTTCCCTAATCCTTTATCATGCTGTGCCCCCCATGTAGGGACATGACAGAGCTGAAGACCCCTATACATCAATAGGTTTCCCTGGCTTTGGTTTGAAGTTGTTAGTCAAATGTGGCCCCCATCAGTGGTGGCCCCACCTGCTCAGAAGCCTGTGCAGTGTGTCCTCTGTCCCTTCCTGCAGTGGCCACTTCACACGGCTGAATGATAAAGACGGTACCCTCACACTCAGAACCGGCCCTTCTGGCTGAAGCCGGCAACCTCCTGCCCTCAAGTGACACCCAAGTTTGTGCCTTGGGGCCCTTATTTTTCTTCCAATCCTTTCAATTTTTTTCCTTCTTCCATTTTCATCTGTTTTCATTTTTGCTATTAGTTTGGCCCTGTGTTGGATCTCCTGCTCAGGTTCTGAGGCCAGAGGGCCAGGGACGGAGTTTTGCCCTTGTCCCTGCTGCCCTTCCGGAGAGGGGACAGGGGCTGGTCTGGTCCCTGTCTAAGACTGATTTTGAAATCTTCCTACAGTTGGGGTCCAGTAGTCTACACACAGAGAAAGACAAAAGGTTTTTATCTTACTCCATTTTCAGTAAACATGTTATTAAATATTCAGTTTCCAGACACAAATCCGCATATCTGGGGCAAGCACAGTCGATAAGCAGTTTTCAGATGTTAATTGTAATTATGTTTCCTTTTCGCTGAAACCCTCCCAAGCAAATTCTATGAGGTCGGATGAAAGTTTCAGTAGACTTTTCCAGCCATTTTGTTTCATGTTGGAAAATGTAATATTTTTCAGCTTGTGTGATAGCTCTAGCGAAATAATTACCCCCAACTGACAAGGTTAATGGACATCTCAGGGTCTGTGTATTTGATGCTAAGAAGATTTCAGCTGCTAACACTGAGCTCCATAGGAAATTATAACAAAGGGAGATAGTTTATAAATGAACATACAGAATTTTTTTTTTGTAAGTGTGATTAAGTCTCCACTACCCCCACCCCCATCCCCAAATCCTTAAACTCATCTTGGACCCGAGAGACAAGCGACAGTGGGAAGAAACCGTTTGTCACGTGTTGTCATCCTTGATGTTGGAAGACAAGGGAGGCCCCACAGGAAGTGCAGCTGTGAACTTGGCTGTCGCTAGCGCAGGTGCTCTGCTGACCCATCCCCGGACAGCCGATTAGGCACCAGTTGAAGCCAAGCGTGTCAAAGGCCACCAGGTCCCCAGTGGTGCCGTTTACCAGGCCCTGCCCTTGCAGCCTGGGGGAGCCGGTTTCTCTCACTCCATCCTGGCCGCTTGGAGGAGAGAAGAAAGGGTTGTGACAATCTGGGTGAACATAGTATTTGCTCCTCCTCAGTGTTAGGTAGAAAGCCTAGGAGGTGATCACAGCTCGGGTGGAGAAAGATTTCTCCCTCAGAGATTAAGATATATAAAAGTAAAAAAAGTTTTTGTTGTTTTTTTTTTTCTTTTCAGAAGCAGGGGAGAGACAGAGAAGGGAAAGAGAAGGGGAATAAGGAGAGCAGGGTGACAGCGTGGCGTCCCCAAAACAGAGAAGGGAGTGCCAGCACTGAGGCCAGGTGGCTGGCTGAGTTTAAGGGGGATGAAGAGAAAAAAAAAAACCCAAAACCAAAAAACCAGTGATTGTTGTCAGCTGATAACAAAAGCAGCAGCAGGATGTCAAAGTCCAAGATTTGGTTTCCTGCCTTTCCCTGGGGAAGGGATTGTCACAGGAGATGTGACTCTGTCCTGAGGTATGGTTGAGGTTCGGAGCTCGCACCCTATTGTTCGTTCAGGAACTCTTTAGACTGTAAAAAAAGCAGATTCTCAAAAAACAATTTTGAAAGAGAGAGATGTACATCTCTTTTCTGTCCATTCAGCTCTTTTCAGAGGTTGTGCAAAACAGAACTCCAGCAGGGCGCCCGCTGGTGAGAGAACTCACAGGATTGATCTTTAACTGTTCCTGGGGAAACTGTGGGATTAGGTATTTTCCTGCTATTTTTGCAAAGAAAACCCCTTGAAACAACCCAAAACAACCTTCCGGAAACCGCAACCCAACGCCCCCCAACAACAAAAAAGGGGCAAACAGGGGCCAAAAGAACGGGGGTAAAGCCCAAACTGCCAACTAACGGCCAAGAAAATAAAGGCAAAAAGCCCGAAAACCCCGAAGCCCAAAATCCTGGGCCCTAAAAAAAAGAAAAGGGAAGGCCATTTGAAAGAACCAAGGAAGGAAAAAAAAAGGAAACAACTTTAACCAAGAACCAAGCCGAAGCCGAAAGAAAACCAAGTTCCCCCGAAGAAACAAAAAAAAAAAAAATTAAATTTATTGAATTAGTCATGTAATGCAGAATTAGTCATGTAATGTCAGGCAGCACCTAAGACGCTAGGGTACCCATCTCAAGGTTTCTTCTGGTTATTTTAGTCTTAAGATATCAGTATCAATCAGGGTGAGGGATAAGGAGAGTTAATATTAAGACAGTTTTTGTAGCTGTAGTTAATATTAAGACAGTTTTTGTAGCGGCACCGGAATATTTACCAAAAGCATTCACACACACACACACACACACACACACGAGTATTGGAATAAACATACACAGCATGGAGGAAGAAATGAGCAAACAGGTTTGTGTTAAGAGGCATAGGCTCAGGAATTTAATGAATCAGGTTCT